GCCTTGCTTAGCACTCTCTCAAGGAAGAAACCACTTCTTACTACTAACATAGAGAGTTGATCTTCATATTCTTACTAGTGAGAAGAATTAGTCTCGTATTCTTACGCTCTAGTCAAGTAGTTAGAAGGGAACCAATTCCTCGCTCAACAATTTGGCCCACGAGCTATGACTATAAATATCCCAATTCTTAATATATTCAGTACTTACGATCTAGATCATTCAGTATTTTTATATATTCAGTATATATAAACTCTTTTGCGTCTATGCACGTGAGTAGGTTCTCCTTATTAATTTTTTTTGAGTACATTAATTTTCTCGTTAACTATAATAAACATATTTTACAAATATAATTTTTTTTATAAAATTAAATATTATATTTCTTTATTGTTTAAACTAAGTACTCTGTGTGTACAACTCTTATAAGATTAATTTCTAAAATCGAAAAAGACCGCAAAATATGATAAAATTCTCTCTCCAACGAATTTAACATTGTTGGATCTTGAGCTATAAACTATAATTAAAGTCAGAAAATATCTCTTACATATCATTCAAATAATCTTGAGTATTAAATGCATAATAATATTAGTGTTATTTGTATAAGTTTGACTCTACTCATGTTATTTTACCTCTATAGTTTTCTCAAATAAAATAATTCAGAAAGACTCACTATAATAATCTCTAACAAGGAATAAAATATGATACTCATAACAATATAATACAAAAAGAATATTTCCGTATACGTTCAAACATGTAAAACAATTTAAAATCATTCATCATTGACTTCAGCATAAGGGGGTTGTTTTGTCCTAAGGTGGGTTGAAGACCACCGAGAGAAAACGTACGCAGCAGAATAGTGTAGTGTCATTCCCCCACAAATCCACTCACCTTGCCTTTTCCTCTTCTCTCTCCATTCAACTTCTTCAAATATAACAAACTCATATCCACACTTTAATCCCAAATTCCCACATCTATCACAATGAAGTTCCAATTTGCATTATTGTTATGTGTATATGTTAGTGTTATTCTTTTCTTTTCCAAACACACCTTATGCATTACCATTGAAGAAGGCTTCAAAGAAGCACCAAAATTCTACAATTCCCCAACATGCAAAACCATTGTATTCTTCCATAGCAATCAACAATGCTCAATCGAAGCCGTACACGTGGCAATGACGCTGGACGTGTCATACATCCGCGGCTCCATGGCAGCAATCCTCTCCGTACTCCAACACTCTTCATGTCCAGAAAACATTGTCTTCCATTTCATTGCCTCATCTTCAGAACCTTCCTCAAAAACCGTTCTAAACAGAATCATAACTAACTCATTCCCGTATTTAAAATACCAAATCTACCCTTTCAACGACGAGCCCGTCGCCGGATTGATCTCAACCTCCATCCGCTCCGCCCTCGACTGTCCCCTCAACTATGCTCGCACCTACCTCGCTGACATCCTCCCGGTCTGTATAAACAGAGTCGTTTATCTCGACTCCGACTTAATCCTCGTCGACGACATTGCAAAACTCGCTTCCACTCCTCTTCGTTCAAACACCGTCATCGCCGCACCGGAGTATTGCAATGCAAATTTCAGTATATATTTCACTCCTTCTTTCTGGTCGAATCCTTCTCTTTCACTCACATTCGCGAACCGTGAGGCGTGTTACTTCAATACCGGTGTTATGGTTATTGATCTTCAGCGGTGGCGCTCCGGTGAGTATACGACCATGATCCGGGAGTGGATGGAGTTGCAGAAGAGAATGCGGATCTATGAGCTGGGATCGTTGCCGCCGTTTTTGTTGGTTTTTGCGGGGAGGATTACGCCGGTAGATCATCGGTGGAACCAGCACGGGCTTGGTGGTGATAACTTTCGTGGGCTTTGTCGGGACCTGCACCCGGGCCCGGTGAGTTTGTTGCATTGGAGTGGAAAGGGAAAACCGTGGGCCAGGCTTGATGCTAATAGGCCTTGTCCTTTGGATGCTTTGTGGGCTCCATATGATTTGCTCAAAACTCGTTTTGCTCTTGAGTCATAGATGACGTCAAAATTCAATTTTTATTTTTATTTTTCAAACATTAAATCCAAATACTAAATAGTTTTACATTTATTTTGATCATTTACTATGTATTATACATGGAAATACTAAATAGTTTTACATTTATTTTGATCATTTACTATATTGTATTATACATGGAATGATTACATATTATTTATTACTATCTCATTAAATTAACTAAATTGATAATGATGCAGAAACATCAAATATATTATCTATATTATCTATTATTGAAATTAATTCGACTGATATTTATAAAGAGACGTAAAATACATTAGATACTACTTATACTACTGCTACATAAGTAAAAAAAATTGAATTAAAGTGAATTATAGACCATTTTTTTTACCATGTCTAGTTAAAGCCAAACATTACTTTAGGGAGGTTTTGACTAGATTCATAATGATTGCGCATTACTATTTTTCTAATTTAAATTTTAAGTTAAAATGGGTAAAATTGGTTGTCGGCAACAAGTAATAGCATTGATTAAGCACTAACGTTTGTAAATGACTTTGCAAAAGTGTGGAGATATTTATAAAGTAATCAAGGTTGCACTTTCACTAACTTGCTTTTTAACGATTGGTTTGACGAATACTATGGATTTAGGATCCTTCTTCTGATATTCTTGTCGCCAAAATTGAGTTGCTCCCTTAATTGCTGCTTGTTACTATACCTGAAAATCAGCCCTATATTTATGGATCTTAGAAAGATGCTAACCTCGAGCAAATAGTAGTCGGGTTGTGTCCATTATGGCGCATGCATGGCACTTTTAATGGAATATATTATATCCCTCTTCTCATGTTTAAATTACACTGGTGTTATTTTGGTTTACCATCGAATTCATGATAAATACTCATAAAAATTTTGTAATGATAAACTGTCGTCATAATCTCAAATTTAATTGATTATTTGTTCTCAAATGACTTGTCTGCAACTACACATTTCAAATAGAAAAACAAAATGTAATAATAACAAATGAACATCGTCATTCCATATTTATTTTATTTGATCACCATTCTAGTTTCCAACTTCAATTCGACAAATTCAAAAAACATCATCAACCTTGTCAAGTACTCATCATGTCTCTCATCTCACTATAATTGACTTAAATGACTGGGTAATCTCTCATCAACATGCAAAACTTCTTATATTGAATTTGGTCATGTTCTACCAAAATTCATTAAAGTAATCAAACCACACACATTTGAGGTCTTTTTTTGGTTGTAACGTGGCTTATGTTCGAGTAAGATATTTTTAGGAAAGTAGGTTTAAACCTTTGAAGTTAGGTACCTAGTTCTCCTTTTGTTATCACACCTACTCTTTGCTTGATTATCGATACTAGATATTTATACTTTTTGGGGTCTTTGTTGTGCCTTTTGTATTCTTTCGCCCTTTTTTTGAAGAAGTTGCTTTGACTTCTTGATTTTTCTCAAAAAATTTTGAATTTTTTTACCAACATCTCTAGTACCCCAACCCCAAACTTAAACTTTGCTCACTTCCAAGAACAACCCCAAATTTTTTCTTTTGCATAATACAAGAAAACTAAAAAATCTACCTAACTCCAAAGAGAGGGTGTAAAGGTTTAATCTTTCAATTCAATTGGCTAAAATATGAGGCTATGTCACAGAAAGAAGGACTATGATCAAAGTTATTAGCAAATGATATTCATATTAACACATGTTGGCTTAAAGAAAGGCTCAGAGTTTAAACAACATATTACCTCGGTGTGTGTAAACAATGGAAATATTTAGCTCAAACCTTACTATGTGAGGTATCTGGAGATTGAATACAAGCCTGCTGATTCCTTTTTCCTACTCCACTTTCAATTTGTAAGGAACTTTTCTGATGACCAAAATTGTTTCTGATGATTCTCTAGGTACACCTGTTCATTTCTAACATTGCAATTTTATAAATCTGAAAGAAACAACAACAACAAACTTGTTTATTAAAGACAAGCATTAGAGAAGTGGTACAAAATAAAATTGAGTATTATAGCTACTATTCTAGATTGACTTGTTGGACGTAAAAGGAAATTGCAGAAAATAATATAAATTCTGAAAACTCCAAATTAATATGTCATTGGAGTGGAAAAAGTCTTGCACGTCTTGCATGGTGTTGTTGAAGTCTTGGTTCTGTTTGGTCCACTCTGCCACTCGTCTCATTAACGATGATGCTCGAGAGGAGCAACTTCGTTTTGGACCCATTGCTTGAAACAACAACACTAGAAAATGCAAAGAGATTAGAAAAAAATAGGATTAGAGAGTGTTTTTAATCTCTCTTTTTTCTTCTAATCCCTTTCTCACGTCTTTGTCCTCCCGCACCTTAATACGTCATGCTACAAAATAAAAATGATTAATTGAAATAAAATGAAATTTAAAATTGCAAATGAAATAAAAACTTATATGTTGGGTTGCCTCTCATTAAGCGCTTCTTTAAGGTCCTAAGATTGACCTTTTAATTTTTGTGTTAGGGAAGCATATATGATACGAAAAACACACCATTCTTCTTCTTTCTTTTGTTTAGTAGGAATTCCATTACTTTAAAGAATTGAAGGTTTTTCTTTCTTTTTCTCTTCAGCTTGATACTATTGAACAAGGCATAAATCTCATCCAATACTTCATCATTTTATCCTTTTTCGTCAGTCTTCTTGGTAGAAGTAAGAATATTCTTTTGTTGAAGATCTTGTTGTTGGATATCTACGTCTAAACGAATTATTGAATTTAGAGCTTCATCCAAAACTATATAATCTTCAAATTTCATTCTTACTCTTTTCCCACATATCCTTTTCACCTCTTCTTCTTCTATTCTCGCATCTATTTCTTTATCAGATGGTGTGTACTTTTCTTCTTTTTTCTCTTTTTCAACTCCTTCTTCATAGACTACCTCTCATTCCTGTTTAACTTATCTTTTAATTTCCTTATCTCTAGGACTATCTAATATGTTTCCCTTGAAATCTCCACTAGATCTTATTTTTAATGTTAATTGGCTAGATATTTGACCAAGCTGCATCTCTAAGTTCTTGAAGGATGTTTCCATGTCACTTCGCAAGGTTTCTTGGTGCCTGTTGATTTTCTCGAAATTGAGTTGAGTCATCTTTATAAACTGAGTCAAGGTTTATTCAAGTTGAGATGATGAATCCTCTTCCCATGAATGATCAATTTTGATGAAAGGTTCTGGCTTTGAATAATTTCTCGCATTTTTTAGAATTAGAGTTTTTGTAGCAAGTTCCTTTGTATAAATTTCAAACTTTGCTAAGTTAGCATATATTTCAAATTGCATGTATGTCTTCACCTTGCATACAAAATTAAAATAAGATTACCTTAGTAGCTTTGTAATAGATAAAAAAAATTAAACAAAAATAAAAGTAAAAAGAAAAAGAAAAAGAAAAAAATTTAATCCTAAAATTTAAATCTAACAAATTTCACACAAAAATTGCCTTGTTGAAATTTGCAATCCCCGACAACAACGTCAAAAACTTGATGAATTCTCGACAAGTGTACCGATAATATCGAAGTAATAAAAAAAGATATCGTCTCTATAAAGGTTGAAATTTAACAAGGTTGAAATTATGCGAATGAAAAATAATAATTGAGAGGTTTTAGATTGTGTTGTGAAAACAAAGTTAAATTGATTATAATTTCAATAACGAGAAAGCGATTATGTTTTACTTGAATTCCTTGTATTATTCTTTGTTGATGTTTAATGCATTATATGAATGATAATAAAGTCATTCTATTCCCATAACAAATTAACAAGGCCACTATACTCAATCCCTTGGTGTATACTCACAAATTTCTACTGGAGGTCTTCTATCCTTATTCAACCAGCGAAATTGAAATTAGTCAGTGTAACTGTAAGTTAATTCAAATGTCACTACTAGAGGTCTCCTATCCCTATTCAGCCAACATAAGTACAACGATTGTCCTAGTTCCGACACATAGACTAATGGCCAATAATCCTTATGAGCCTATAATCAAATGAACAAAGCATCTCAAATAAAAATCATTAAGCACAAGACAAAATTAAATAGAAATTTAATTTCAATTATTCATATAATATTAAATTAAACCTATGTCCCTATGTACTGGAGAGATGAGAGTTTGTTGCTTTCTAGTTGAAATCTAGGTTTCACAGTAACTTGCTGGGGAGGATGAAGTTAACTGTTGTCTGAAAATGTGTTAGAAATAGCTTGTGTAGGGCTGTTTCAGGATGAGTCCGTGTTAGACCGCCGCCCCGCTTGTTTCGAGAATTGATCCATAATCAGTTGTTTCACATATAGTTGTCCTGTCTGGTTTCAGGTATTAATCTGGAACTTGGTTTTGTCATTCGTTGAGATAGTTGTCCTGGCTGGTTTCAGGTATTAATATCTGACCTTAGAAAGAAAGATAGTTTTCCTGGCTTGTTACATGTATTAATATTCAATTTTCTCATGTAGATAGTTTTTCTGGCTAGTTACATGTATTAATCTACAATCGGTCGTCCACGGATAGTTGTCCTGACTTGTTACAAGTATTAATCTAGAACTTGTTTTTGTCGGTCGTTGAGATAGTTGTCCTGGCCGGTTTTAGGTATTAATCTCTGACCCGAGAAAGAAATATAGTTTTCCTAGCTTGTTACATGTATTAATTTTCAATCTCCTTATGTAGATAGTTTTCCTGGCTTATTACAGGTATTAACCTACAGTCGGTCGTCCATATATAGTTGTCCTGGCTTGTTACATGTATTAATCTGGAACTTGGAAATGTTGGTCACATAGATAGTTTCCTCGTCCGGTTTCGGGCATTAATTTGTGGCCTGCTGTATTTGTTGGTAAATCCGTCTTGTTCCGGGAGTTCATACCACTTGGTCGTGTAGATAGTTTCCCCGTCTGGTTTCGGGCATTAATCTTTGACTTATTGTATAAGTTGATAATGTTTGTCTGTCTTCGAGCTCAACCTAGAAAGGTAAATTCAGTTTCATGTAATGTCATGATGTATGAA